CCCCCCCCCCCCCCCCCCCCGGGTCCAGATGAATCATTGACACCGTCTTGTGGCCTGCCAAAGAAAGGTGTAGCCCTCTGAGGACAGTGCCAGCTGCTCTCCCACCTAGTCAGCTTTATCCAGCCTCCCTTGCCCCCCCTGGCCCCCTGCCTGAGCTCCCCAGTTGCTCTGCCAGGGCGCTGGCGGAGGGGGGTGGAGCATTCAAATGACCTTATCTGAGTACTCCTCCCGGGAGGTGTGGCCCAATATTATAAAAAAGATGGGGTTGGTTGTACCAATGTCTCCTCTGCATAGCTTTCCCAGATTTCTTTATTCCGACTTTCACAAGTGTTCCGAGAGGGCAGGGCGCAGCGGGTCATGGAAATATACATTTTGCACATCTGTTTTAGTCTACTTAAGGACGTCCCGCACTTTCCCCCTCCGATATAAAAAGTGACTTGCAAATTTACATGCATTTTCCAACTAGCTGCACAGCCATTTCTCAGTATCCCCATTCTTAGGCTGTGAGAAGGAGGTATCTGCCTATGTAAGTGAGTTATGTGCAAGTCGCTGACCAACCCAGCTGCTCCTTTTCCCGCAGTATCTCAGCTGGGAGAGGTGGGCCCTGCCATGTAAATAATTTCATTTGCATTCCCCGCCCATGACTCTGGTTTTAACAAGCACAGAAATGCCCCCTCCCTCATCCCTCCCCTCAGACTGTTACTCCTCCCAGGAGAAAGGGGCGAGGCGGAGAATGCAAATGAGTCTGGCGTCGGCGACGGGCCCACTTTTACTTTCTGGAGAGGGGTGTTCTGGATTTTTTCGCATTGCCCCGCGGAGCTTGCGCCTGCGCACGCACCGTCTCTTTCGCCGGGGCGCGGTCACGTGCCTACCGGGCGAGACGGGGGCGGAGCGTCGCGGGTGGTGGGGGCGGGGTATGGCGCGCTGTGCGGCGCTGGGCGGCTGGCACAAACGGCGGCGCCGGGGTCGGAGGAAAAAGCTCGGTGAGGAGGTCTCCGGAGAGGAACGGAGAGGAAAGGAGAAGGAGCCGGAGCCGGAGCCGGAGTCGGGGCGTCGGCGCGCGCGGGGCTTGGTGTGGGGACGCGCGCCGGACACGCGGTGGCGAGCCCCGGCGACCTGGGGAGGGTGGGTGGGGGAGGAAACGCGCGCCGGGCACGTTGGGTGCCGGCCGTTGTGGGGGGGGGGGGGGGGGGGGAATGCGTAGGGGGGGGGGGAAGGGGAGGGGTACGGGGTCCGAGTGACTTCTAGGCCCTGCTTTCGTCACCCACTGCTCCCCGAAGGGCCTCAGCGCTTGCACCCAAGGGGCTTGGGAGCAGGACTCTTTTTCCTTGTCCTGTCTGTACCCGAGTACAGACATTCTTCTCTGTCCTTGCGACTGTCGCTGTGTGGACCCTCCTTGAGGCTCCCTTCGTCCTGTCTCAGGACCTCCCTTCCGTCTGGGTGTGTGTCCGCCCCCAGCAGGCTTCCTCTTGGGCGCAGGTCGACCCCACCACCTTGTTCTGTCTGGTCGTCTTGGGCCTTCCTTCCCAGTTTCCCTCCGGTCTGTTTTTCTGCCTCCGGACTCCCTCATTTTTTTGCCTGTTGATCCCCTGAACTCTTGAGTTTATCCAGCTCCCCTATTCTGTTTCCGTAGACCCCCACATTTTTGTGTCTCCGAAGCTTCCAGGCTTCTACTCCCCCCTCCACCATTCCTATTCTATCCCGGGTCCCCTCCCTCTTCTCTGATTGTGGATGCTCTTCCTCCCCCAAACCTCCCGCTGCTGTCCTCTCTGGGTCATCTACACAGACTCTCTCGCCTCTCACTGTTCTTTTCCCCAACTTGACCTCAGATTGTGGGGGGGTCTCTGTAGCCAAGTCTCCTGGCATCTTCATTAAGGTCCTCAGCATTTCCACCCCTTCCCCAACCTACCTGCCTCTAACTCGTCTCACCTCCCTTTTTTTCTCCCTTTCTCTCCAGCCACCCTGACGTGTCCCTTCCCAAGCCTCTAGGGACAACAGTGGACTTGGGGACCAGCGAGCACCCCCAGGACACAAGAGGAGCCTCTGCTGCCTGCCCTGCCTCACCCTGCCCCACACCAGGCCCAGGGGCCCCCATCTGCATCAAGTGGAGGAGGAGGAGGCGGAGGAGGGTGGCACCATGGGCCCGGGCCGTGCCCTCCATGCCCGGGAGATGAAGACATTGCTGCCATGGACAGCCCGTGCCAGCCGCAGCCCCTGAGTCAGGCTCTCCCTCAGTTGCCGGGGTCTGTGTCAGAGCCCTTGGAGCCCAGCCCGGTCAGGATGGGGGTAGAGAGTTACCTGCCCTGTTCTCTGCTACCCTCTTACCACCGTCCAGGAGCGCCTGTTGAGGCCTCGGCAGGGAGTGGGACCTCCAGAGCCACAGCCACCTCCACCACTGCCAGTCCCTTGCAGGAGGGCTTTGGTGGACATGATGGTGGTGAGCTGTGGCCGCTACAGAGTGAAGGTGCTGCGGCGCTGGTCACCAAGGAGTGCCAGCGACTGGCAGCCCAGGGAGCCCGACCTGAGGCCCCAAAACGGAAATGGGCAGAGGATGGTGGGGATGCCCCTTCACCAGGCAAGCGGCCCTGGGCCAGGCAAGAGAACCAGGAGGCAAAGGAGGAGGATGTCAGGGGTTGTGGCAGTGGTTGTGGCAGTGGCAGTGGCAGTGGCAATGGCAGCCGTGAGACAAATGCTAGGATGAGGGAAGAAGCCCTGCCCTCCACACCTGAACGCCTGGCCCTGGACTACATTGTGCCTTGCATGCGGTACTATGGCATCTGCGTCAAGGACAATTTCTTGGGGGCAACACTGGGAGGCCGTGTGCTGGCTGAGGTGGAGGCCCTGAAGTGGGGTGGGCGCCTGCGTGATGGGCAGCTAGTGAGCCAGCGGGCAATCCCACCGCGCAGCATTCGTGGGGACCAGATTGCCTGGGTGGAAGGCCATGAGCCGGGCTGTCGGAGCATCGGTGCCCTGATGTCCCATGTGGATGCTGTAATCCGCCACTGTGCTGGGCGGCTGGGCAGCTACGTCATCAATGGGCGCACCAAGGTAAGGCTAGTTGAGCCTTCTGTGGAGGAACTTGATAGCACTTTTGTTTGTTGAATGCCTAGCGCTGTGGCAATGAGTGGATTTGGACACGGACTTCTGGGGACCCCGTAGGTTTAGGCAGCTACAGCACAAAGGACATACTCACCTGTGGGGAAGACGCTGAGGGGAGGGGTCTCTGCCTTCCCTGTGGGGGCTTGATTTGTGCACTTACCAACCAGAGATCTGACCTAGAGCCACATGGTTCTTGATATTCCAGGAATCCTCCTGGAGGACCCAATGAGAACTGACACTTGCCGACTCGTACCTGTACTTGGGCCGTGTTGGGGTCCCTGGCCCTTAGTGTCTTACTGTGGGGCCACAGACTGAAAATAATCAGTGTAGACAGTCCCATGTTCCTGCCTCTAGCAGTCTCTGTCCTTATCCTTCCTTGTTGTCTTGTCCTCTCATCTGCCCCTTTGCTGGCCTATCTCGTCCATCCTGTCTCCCAGGTGGGAATACCTGAAGATGGAGCTGGAGGGTGGCAGTGGTAAGGTGAACCCTGGCCGAAGAGGGGGCACTGCCTGCCATTCTGACAGGCTACCCTGGGTTGCATTATGCCCTGTGAGCCTGCTGCATTGAGGACTCAGTGCCACTCTAATTCTGTAGATGGCATTGGGTGACTGCATGGTGGCCTCCTGTTACCATCTTTCCCAGCCCTTCCTGCCCTAGTTTCTCTCCTCCATCTCTGTCTTGTGTGTCACTTCATACTTGTCTGTCTCTGGTCTCCTCCCATGACCCTCTGTCCTTATGTGTCTTTTCTTGCTGTAGTATAGTAGTCCTCTCTTTTGGGAGTCTGAGCCTTTTTGAAAGTCTGCCAAAAGCTCCAGACCCTCCCTTAAGAAAAGTGCCCATTTGGTTGGAGTTTGTGGGCAGTTGTCAGGGCCTCATGGGCCTCTAGCTGCCCATTCAAGACCCAGGGGTCAGGATCCCTGTACAGACAATGGTCCATAGGCCTTTCTGGCCTGCTGACGTGATCATTCTCTCCCTGGAAGGGCATGAGGGCCCTGGCCTTGAGTTCAAGGCTTGGTGTTGTTTGGACAAGGTCTATGGGGAGTGCTCGCTACTCAGCACTGGCAAATCCTGGCTGATGGCGCTGTGTTCTGCCCTGTGAGCGGGAGGCTGTGCTCCTTGCGTCTCCTCTCTCCTCTCATGTCCGTCCCTTCTTGGGTTCTTCCTCTGTGGCTTTCCTCTCAGGCTAGAGCTGGCTCAGGGTCCAGGGCTCCCCCGGGGCCCAGGCTTATTTCCTCCCCACCCCAGCTGGAACTTGTCCTACTTCCCTCTCCCTCCCGTTACTTGATAGCTGGAGAGCCAGATCGGCCCCTCCCTGGGCTTGGCTCCTGTGCAGGCCACATCAATGGGGCCTCCTGTCTCAGCAGCTTCACTCTGGTGTCAGCCCTTGGAGGAGGGAAGTCCAGGAGAGCCGAGTGGCCTAGGGTGGGACACTGCTCCAAGCCCCAGTTTACTCAATAGGAAAATCAGGCTAGTCCCCAGGTAGTTTGGGGAAGAAGGTTTGAGGGAACAGGTTGTTTCTCTTTGCCTCTGGAACCCATCTGGATGTGCTTGGGGACAGGACCTCAGCTAGGATTAGGGGGGAGGAAGTTGTTGGACTTTTTAAAGGTTTGGGTGACCCTTATTCCTGTGGAGGTAAGAATAGGCCAAGCTGGTGGGGAAGGAAGGGGAGGAGCCAGCCCAGTGCCTCCAAAGGACCATGTCTGGGCTCCTTTCCCTAGGCTCTGGAGTGAGACTGTGGGGTCCTGAGGTGGGTGGCAATGGGAACATAGATCACCAGTGTGGCTACAGCCAGTAGTAACCTGTTCCTCTGTCATTCCTGAGTAGAATTCCTCTGTCCTACCTTGCCTTCTCTCCTTGGTCCCACTGCTTGGTTGACCTTCAGCTGGGAGAGAGTTGGCTCCTGCTGGCATCACAGGCTACCCAAGGAGACCCTAGGGAAGGTCTAGCTGGCCCCTATTTGCCTATTTAAGAGCAGCTTGGACATGGGACCTGCTGTCATTAGCTGGGTTCGTTGCTTTGGACTTTGTGCGCATGCATGTGTGTGTGTATCTCTGTGTGTCTGTCTGGTGGTGGTAGGGTTCTTGTCATCAGTAGTCTTTTAACTTTTAGTGTCCTGGCTGAGATTATACCTCCTTGTTCCCTGAGATGGAAGAGCAAGTTTCCTCACCACCACTATGTTGTCCTTGTGGGCAAGGCTTTTCCTCTTGAGAGTAGGATTCAGGGGAGTGCTCCCAGTCAGCAGAACGAGCACTAGGCACCCGGGAGGCAGGCCTGGCCCCAGAGGCCTAATGGGGCTGCTTTTCAGATCAGTACTAGGTAAACAGGAACCTGTGCTGCCTTCACGTTGACAGGAGTGGAATGGACAGTCAGCTAGAGTACTTCAGGTGACTCTCAATCCAGGTCTTGAATAGCCAGGACCACCAGGGGAAGAGTGCTCCAGTCAGGTGCTATACAGGCTTTGTGATGGGGGTGAGGTAGATCTGTTGAGGCTTGGGGCAGATAACGGGGATGACACACAGTTTCGTGGCTGTGGAGGTCACAATTGGGAATTTGTTTTTTCTCAGAATACGGTGGAGAGCTGGGGGAAAGGGTCTCTGACTGCTGTGTGGGGAAGAGGGTATGCTCTGTCCTCCCCCATCCATCCATGTGCAGAACCAGCATGATCTCTGGTTGGATTCCCAAATGGGCAGGCCTTGTCCATCTCTATTCAGTGACTCACTGATTCCAAGCCACCAGGCCATGGCCACAGCCATGTTCTTTCTTGCCAGTGAATGGTCACTCATAGTGTCATACTATCTGCAGGGAGTAAGCAGCACAAAAAGGATTCTCTTTGTGGGGCCAGGGGCCAGGGTTTTCCTGGGGGCCTCTTTTCACTGTGGTACCCCGGTGCTGTCAGAGAGAAGATTGGTTCTCCACTGCTGGGGAGCCTTAGGTGGTGGTAGCCCTCCTGGCCTCTTTCCCAGGGCAGCATTTGTGCTGGATCAGGTGCACATGTTTGATAAGAGAGTTTAACATCCACACATATTCCAGATGAGCCCTGGGAATATTTGAGAAGGGGTCCTGGGAGGAAGAAGTGGGATTGAGTTGAACTGGCCTGTTACGGAGTGCTTGGCAAAACTGTTTTGGCAGCAGATGCTGATCTGTTTGATTATGAGTGTTTATCTCAGGGTTGTCCTTCCGGGTGAGGCCTGTAGGTGTAGCTGAGCATTGGTGGGGTGCCCTAGCCAGCAGAGTTGTATCTGGGTGGTGGGGTCAAGACAGATGGTGCTGACCTGGAAGAAGCTGAAGGGTCTTGTTTTAGCTAGTTCTCCCATTTGCTTAAAACCTCCTCCAACTCTCCCAGTGGAATGGGTTTGGGGAGAAGGGGGGGGGGTAGGGACTTTTTTTTTTTTAAATGGCATTTCACTCTGTACTCTTTAGTTCTTCCATCATGTGGCCATAGGTGCTGAGTGTCTTCCTAGACATTGGTTATCTTATTCCATTCCCACAACAACCTGTGAAGTCAGCTTCATTCCCAGGCTGTGTAACCTTAGGCAGAGAAGCTAAGTTACCTTCCTGAAGTCCCAGCCTGTGTGGCAGCACTGAGACTTGAACATGGGAATTGGGTCTGCAGCAGTAGTATGACCCTTTCCTTTATATCACACCTACCTCTTAGCTCCCTAGTGACAAAGATCCCAGGATACTGGCTACAGATGGTGAGGCCTCGGCAAGGGGACTAGTAGCCATCAGGCAGAGGAAGCAAGAACTCTGTAGCTAGACCAGTGCCCTCAGTAGCCAAGACCCAGGGCGAGTCTTGTTAGATCTGTGGTCTAGAATTTGCAAAGTTCTGTGTTCGGAGAGATTAATTGTGTTGCTGGAAACAAGGTGTTGATTAACTCCATTTTACAGTTGTACTTGAGGCCCATTCAGATGGTGGGACTCTCCAGGGTCACTTAGCAAATTTGGAATTGGAATTAGGTCTCATTTTTCTTGAGGTTCAAGGTTTTCGTTCCTGTTCAGATATATGAAACGGATCACTTTAGCCAAATTCTTTGTAGTCAAGGGCAGTGGTTCTCAGTGTTGCTGTATGTTAGAATTACCCCCAGGAACTTTTAAAATTGCAGGCCCCATCTTAGACCAAACCATCAAAACTTCTGAAATTAGGGCAACCTGGGCCTCTGTGTCTCAAGGCCTCTGAGGAGATAGCACTTCACAGCAAAGGGTGAGATGCCGTGGCCTAGCGCTGTGAGACTGTGTTTGGGCCCATTTAAAAATGATTAAATTGGTTTTTGCTATATTGAAATGTCTGAGGTAGGGTTAGAATATCTTTAAGAAATTATACCATATTTATTTACTGGACTCCATCTGGGTACCATGTCCTGGGTGTGTGTGTGGTGGGGGAACTGAGGCTTTTGATGGACTTGGGAATGCAGTCTTGGCGGAAATAGAAGAAAGTCCTTGGAGCCCAGTACACTCAAGGAATCCAGGGGAAGATAAGGAGCAGGAATGGCGTGAACAAGGCTGTTTCCCAAGATGTCCTTGCCTAGTCTCAGTAAACCACCTCCCTCCATCTCTGCCAGGCCATGGTGGCGTGTTACCCAGGCAACGGGCTAGGGTACGTGAGGCACGTTGACAATCCCCACGGCGATGGGCGCTGCATCACCTGTATCTATTACCTGAACCAGAACTGGGATGTTAAGGTAGGATGTGGGGGTGGGACTTGCTTTCCACTCCGTTCCACTCCCAGCTCAGATTGTAGCCTTCTATTTCTCTTCTCAGCCTACAGGGGGGGTGGTACAATCTGTGGGCTCTTCCTGGGAAATAGCACCTCCTTCCCTAGCTAACAGTGTGGTGGGAACTCCCCCCCCTTTCCGGGAATGGTGCTGTCTGCCCAGCCCCACCCAACCTTGTAGTGAGCTCTCTCCCCCTTTTCCTGTCTTTAGTAGCTTCCTGCCCATCTCCATGGTGATGCAGACTCTGGGCTGTCATTCTTTTTAAGAGCCTGAGTGGTGGGAGTGATAATGTGCTGGCACTACGCCCCCTTGTGGGCACCTGGGTGCAGTGCAAAGCAGAGGCTCCAACTTAGATGAGCCAGCCTGGTCCTCTCCTCCCCCAGGTGCATGGTGGCCTGCTGCAGATCTTTCCTGAGGGCAGGCCTGTGGTAGCCAACATCGAGCCTCTCTTTGATCGGTTGCTCATTTTCTGGTCTGATCGACGGAACCCCCATGAGGTGAAACCAGCCTATGCCACCAGGTATGACTCTTACTTATGGGGATGTGCCTAGTGCTCCACCTGTACTCCCTTTGTGCCAGTCTTCACTGTCTCTCAGAGTGACCAGGGAGTGATGAATTGCCGAGAGAAGTCCTAGGTGGGAATAGAAGCAGGTGGCTCAAAAGGGTGGACTCCAGCGTCACTGGATATGGTGACTGAAATTGAAGAAAACTGATTTCAACTGTCCTGGTCCCCAGGTACGCCATCACTGTCTGGTATTTTGATGCCAAGGAGCGGGCAGCAGCCAAAGACAAGTATCAGCTAGGTATTTGCTTCCTCTTCCCTCATATCCTTCCTGTTCCCTATACCCCCTTGGCCTCAAGCTACCCATATGCCTTCTGAGTTTTTTGCTGCTGGTGGTGATGATGCTCGAGGTGGAACCTATGCTTGGTCACTGAGCTGCATCCCCTGCCCCACTAATTTTGAGTCTTATTTATTTATTTATTTTAATTGTTGTTGGGCACAATACCTTTATTTATTTTTTTTAAAGATAGAAATTTTTAATATTTTTTTTTAGTTTTCGGCGGACACAATATATTTGTTTGTATGTGGTGCTGAGGATCGAACCCGGGCCGCACGCATGCCAGGCGAGCGTGCTACCTCTTGAGCCACATTCCCAGCCCACAATACCTTTATTTTAATTATTTTATATTTGGTGCTGAGGAGCAGACCCAGGGCCTCGCACGTGTTAGGCAAGCGCTGTACTGCTGAGCCACCACCCCAGCCCAATTTTGAGTCTCTTAAATTTGAGTCCCAACACTCATTCTTCCTCATCTTTCCTTAGCTTGCTTTCCTGGTAACCCCAAAATGTGCCTTATTTCTTCCTGATCCTCTCCCTGTCTTCCAGGGTTTTCCTTGGCCTCTTTGACCCTTCCCTGATGCCTCACATTCTCTTGTCCCCCTGTCACCCTCAGCATCTGGACAGAAAGGTGTTCAAGTACCTGTGTCACAGTCAACCACGCCCACCTAGTGGCCGGCCCTGGAGCTGCATGGACCGACAGCTCGCCCGACTTCAGGAGAGCCCGGGCCCCGCGGCAGCCCACAGTCTTAGTGCCTGCTCCTTCCCTGCCACTGCTGCTGCTTCTGGCTTGCCTCTGTCCTGCCGGGCATGGAGGGCTCTGTGCATCGCTGAGGACCAAGAAGGAGGAGTGATCTCTGCTGCTCTTTGAGGAGAGCTGGGGTTATGACCTGGGCAGTGGCCAGTGTTGGGGGCTACCATTACTGAAGCGGAGACCTGTGTCCTGTCCTGTGTGGTCATTACCCTGCTGGGTGTAAGAGCTGGGAAGAGGCAGGATTTGGGGTTGAGGTGAGTCATGGCCTCTCGCTGGCAAAGGTTTGGGGAGGTATCCCCAAGTCCCCCATTCCTCCAGCCTGGAATGTGAAGTGACTCCCCAATCCCTTTGGTCATGGCACCTTTTGGACTGGGCTGCCACTGCTTGGGCAGGATAAGGTGCCAAGAGGAGCATGGGTATGGAAGTCCTGACAGCCAAGAAATAAATAAAAATTTACCTCAGAGCTGCAAATGTCTGACTCCCTCATAATGAGACCATCTCCATCTGTGATTTGGGCCCTTTATTGACCAAGGTGGGGAAAGAGATGTGAGGGCCAGTGAGGCCAGTGGGATGGAATCTGACTTCAGCGTGCCATCAGGTGGAGCTGGAAGGTTGGGGGCACGTTGCCCAGGCCAGTGCACTGTGGGGTGAGGTTGATGTTGCTGGGGCTCTCCACAGGGAGCAGGCGGAACCTCTGCAGGATGGCCGTAAGGAAGAGGAAGATCTCTGAGCGGGCAAGGCCTGCGCCCAGGCACATGCGCTTTCCTAGGGACATGGGTGCATGGTGAGCATCTCATGCTTCCTAGAGCCTGTCGAGGCTGGTCCCCTCTTGGCCCAGACCCACTCAGACCTGGAGCAAAAGGCATGAAGGCTTCATTGCTCTGGAACTCTCCCTTTTCATCCAGGAAATTGTTGGGGTTGAAACAGTCAGGGTCCTTGAATTGGGTGGAGTCCCGGTGGGCAGAAACAAGCAAGGGAATCACCACGGTGCCCTAGGAGGTTCACACAGCTCAGGTTACCAGCAGAATTAGCCACTGCCCTTGCCTCATCCTTTTGCACTCTGCCCCTACTGGGGACGGAACCTAGAGCCTCATGCATGTTAGGCACGGGTTCTACCACAGCTGTAAACGTCCCCAGTCCACAAAAGACCCTTTTATTTTTTAGAGATGGGGGGGTCTCCCTGTGTTGCCAAGGCCGGCTTCAGATCCCACCTTAGCCTCCAGATTATCTGGGACTATAGGTACAGGTCACCATGCCTGTCCTAAGGCTGGTTCTAAAAACCCCATTGGGGAGCTGGATGTGGCTCTGTGGTAGAGCAATTGTCTGGTGTGCGAGAGCCCCTCACTTGTCTGGTGTGCGAGAGTCCCTGAGTTCAGTCCCAGCACCAACCCCATGAAAACAAGTATGCGGGAAAGCTTGTCTTTTTTTTTTTCTCCTGTTTTTTGGTGTGTCATTTGACACTACCCTCTGAAAACAGTCACTCCCACAATAGTCTAGGACAGGTGCTTACCCTGCCCAGTCCTGTACAGAAGCCCCAAGCTCTGAGCTCACCTTGGGCAGAAAGTGGCTCCGGAGGTGGGTGTCCTGTGTGAGGGCGCGAGGCAGCCCCAGGGGCAGCACGCTAATGAAGCGCTGAATCTCGTGCAGCACTGCATTGGTGTAGGGTAGATGCACCCGGTCCTCCAGGCGGGGGGCACGGGCCCGACCTACCACGGCATCCAGCTCCGCCTGCACTTTGGCTGGACAGATGTTTGAGACACACTATCCAGATCCAGAGTCAACCCCCCTCCCAGCTTCTCATATTGGGTATCTACAGCTCACAGACCTGCCACCTCTGGGTACTTGAGCAGAATGAGGAGCCCATAGCGCAGGGTGGTGCTAGTGGTCTCCGTGCCACCAAAGAAAAGGTTGTGTGTGGTCATCACCAGGGTTTCCTCCTGGAAATGACTTTCTGGGTCCTGCTGTTCCTGTGGGCACAGATGAGTGCTGTCATGTGTCAGATATCTGCTGGTGGGCCCAGTGGATAGAGTTTAGGATAGCTGGGGCCAGCACCTTATCCATCTGATCAAGGAAGCAATCAATGAAGTCCCGAGGCTCCCCAAACTGTCTTGTCTCCTGATGCTGCTGGATTTGCTCAGAAATGAAGACTCGAAGCTCTTCAAAGTTTCGGAAGATTTGATGATGGGGGCCAGGAAGCCAGTCCAGGAGGGAGGGGAAAATGTACATCTGGGGAGACAGGGCTCAACAGGGCTTTGGACAAGGCCGCTAGGCCTTCGTTTCCCTTGTGGGGAGATTGGACCAGGACTTTGGTGTTAGTAGGTTTCTAGAACTCTTCCAAGAATCTAAGACTCCCATTCTAATGATCCATTGTAGGTAAGGCTATGTGCATACTCTCTCACCTCACCCCATCTGGAACTCATGATTCGAAAATTGTCATGGAAGAGCTCCAGGAGCCTCAGGAACTCTGGATCCCCATAGCCATAGCGCTTTCCGAAGACAACGGAACAGATAACGTTGGATACAGCATTATCCAGTAGCTGGCGGGGGTCGAACGGGGTTCCTGGAGTTGGATGGGAAGAACCATGGGTAATAACTCTGGTGCAGCCACCAGCTAGCTCCTTGGGCCTCCAGGAGCTCCTTGAACTTGCTCTACCCAAACCTTTTCTTAACCTTCTTGGCAGTCCATTGGCCACCCCCCATTCCCAGGCCCTTCTGCTTTTCCTGTCAGGCCCCACCAAAGGTAGCTTGAAATTCTCCAAGCAGACAAGCCGCCTCCTCCAGGATGTGCTCCTCGATGGATCGTGTACCCATCCCAAACTCCTTGAGCGCTCCAAGTGCAAAATTGCGCAGTGTTCGCCAGCGTGGTCCGTTGGAAAACACTATGCCTAAGGTGAAGACAGAAAAGGGGGAGTGGCTGGGCATGATGCAGTTTGTAATCCCAAAGACTCAGAAAACTGAGGCAGGAGGATCACAAGTTCGAGACCAGCCTGAGCAACTTATTGAGAACCTTATTCAAAATTTTAAAAAGGGATGGGGATGAAGCTCAGTGGTAGAGTGCCCCTTGCGTTCAACCTCCAGTACTACAAAAAAGGGGAGGTGGGGATGGTGGTGGTGGCCTCGCTCCATCTAGGACACGCCCTGTCACTAGTTACTAGGCCCCTTTTGGGGCCTCCAACTCGAGGATAATCCTACTTCCTCATAATACTTCATGGTTCCCCCACTCCTCCCTATATTGGAATTGAACCCAGAGCCTCATGTATTTGTCTTCCTGCCCTGGCCTCCTGAGTGCTGGGATTCCAGGCGAGCGTCGCGGCGCTGATTAAAAAAAAAAAAAAAAAAAAAAAAAAAT